TCGCGCATCTTCCTGGGAGACACACGATGTTACTATGGCCCCAACATCACTGATGCTAACTCTGACCACGTGACTAAGGGGGTGCCTGCCAGGCTTCTCCCCTGTACAGTGCTATCCTTTGGTTTGTAATTAATAAGTCATCTGTGGGGCACTGCTTAGAGACGCTGGAAATATAGGGCCTCTTTCTTCAGTGGTTGGATCTATGGGGCTTTCTGCAGCCTCTTTCTTCCCATGACTCATCTGGGCAGTTGCATCTGCTGCTGACTCCAGGCCTCCCACTCTCTTGGGTCCATCTGTCCAGTCCAGGTCTCCCTTCTGGCTTCAGTCCCAAAGGCCTGACCATCTGCTGGATGCCTACTTGGGAGTCCCATAGACCCTTGGACTCAGCATGTCCAAAGCTGATCTCCTTGTATTCCCTGCACCCAACCAAAGCCTGGTCTCTGTATCAGTGAAAAACATCATGACCACTCACATTCCCAAGCTGGATGTCTCCAGGTCATCCTAGACCTTCACCAACTTTGGTCCTAATCTCAGAGCTTGGCCATGGATGGAACTCAGATGAGAGATATGAGGGAAGGAAGGGAGGGGATGGGGTAGGAGAGAAGCCATATGCATATACATCTGCTCCCAAATGAGTCTCTGTCCCTGCCTGAGTAATGACAAGATCTCTCCTCACTCCGGTCACTCCATCCAGAGGTCCTCACCACTGATTAACTAAACCACCTCCTAAAGGCCAGCTCAGATGGTGTTACCTCCCATCTCCCTCCAAAACCAACTCAAGGTTCTGGAAAAATACTATCTGTGGCCTGACCATCATGTGCAGAGCCTCCCGGGGAGGAGATAAAATGAACTTAGCCCCACCCCAGCCATTGCCATCCTGTCCCTGCCTGGCAACTGTCCAGAACCCCCCAGGTCTCACGGGAGGTGAATCTGGGGCTACCTCGGTGCTTTGGCAGTGAGCAGTTAGTGAAGAAATGATCACAGGCATGGTGAGCAGGCCCCAGCCCAGGAAACCCTGGCCGCCCTGAGACCCACTGGCACAGATGGGGAGGGGCAGTGGGCCCCAGACAAGGTCCCCTTCTGAGGGAAACCCAGGGAGAGGAAGCCAGTCTGCATGTGGAGCACCAGAGGGACCCTCAGGGACCAGACAAATTGCTAGTGAGAGCATCACGGAGGCCTGGGGGCTGGCCCATCTTGAGTTAACAGAGGAAAGCTGGCCCCTGCCCATCACTCTTGGCGGTGGCCTGGAAGCACCTTTGTGGTGGTGAAGGAGCACCAGCCTGCACCCAGGAAAGCCCCTGTGAGCCCCAGGGGTGATGCAGTGTGACTCCCATACTCGGAGCCCCGGCTCGGGATGGGACCAGATTCAACAGCCCGAGGCTGACTGGCAACCCCGGGCCTGGGCTGACCCTCATTGTTGGTGGTGTGGCTAAGTTGTTCCCTGTGAGAATGCCACGCAGGGTGGCGGGCAGAGCCTGGGCATGGAACGATACTGGTGCTGTGAGCCTGTCTGTGTGACCTCGCAGGGAGGCCGGGGCAGGGTGGGGGGCAGAACAAAAGCCGCTGGGCCTGGGGCTTGGGCTGGGCTGGGCTCGGGGTGTCCATCAATGGCAGAGCCTCTGAGCAGTGAGAACAGCCACAGCCAGTGGTCAGTGCCTACCTGCGTGGTGACACGATGGGCACCAAGGGAGCAACAGGTGGTCAGATGCCCAGGAAGGGAGGAGGGACTCTTTCATTCACTGTTTCATTCATTCAGCACATATTTGTTGAGCAAAATTAAGGTCAAGGGGAGTGAAGGGGACCACAGACTTTAATCAGTCATCCAAAGGAAAGGTACTGGGGCTATGAAAATGTGTAATGGGGCTATGGTGGTCTACAGCAGGGACGGTCCCCCCGAGGACGCCGCTCACAGGCTGAAATTCGAGTGATCAGTAGAAACTCACCAGGTGCATTAGACAAAGGAGGGAGATTAGTATTCCAGACAGAAGGGATAGCCTGTGCAAAGGCCCAGTGGCAGGAGGGCCCTTGAGGGACTGTTGAGATGGCATTTAAGGAAGCCAGTGCTTTACTCTCCGAGGGGCCTGGGTCCTTGATCCCTGGCTCCACCAGGTGAAGGGGGAAGCTTGTAGGGCCATAGGAGTGGCCTATCTGCCCCTGTCTCCACCAGTTGGAGGAGAAAGGGGGTGGACATTTACTGAGCATAGCATGCATTGCCTCATTTATCCTTCTGACTTTGGCAGGCAGGCCTCATTCTCTGACTTCTCCCCAACAGATGACGGAACTGTGGCTCAGGGAGGCTGGACGACCTGTCCTAGGTTACACAGCTAGGGAGTGACAGAGCCAGGGGAGACCTCAGAACTTGAAACCCTTTCTTTTCCCCCACATCGCCTCTCATCAAGGGTAGAAGATTAGGTCAGAGTTACTGTGATAAACTCGTCTTGCCTGAACCCCTCAAAATTCCATAGAGTCTCCAGTCTGCATGAGATCTTGAAGGACCCCCAAGCATGTAGTTACCCTGTATAACGTCTCCTAGTTCCTCCCTACCACCACGTGCTGTCGAGCCTCCACTTCTATATCCTAAGGGTCTGGGAGTTTATTGCTTCCCTTCTGTCTTGGGGTAGTTCTGACTGGGTGGGACACTGGTAGTACTTTCTGTGGGGAGACTGAGGCACGGAGCAGCTCCCAGATCTGGGAAGAGCTGAGATTATCAACTTCTTCGCTGGCGTCTAGGAAGGTAAAGGTAGCTCATGCCTCTGTGTGTGTGTTGTGTGTTCTAAGTGTTCAAGGCTCATACGAAAGTGCATTTTTTATTTCAAAGAGCATTTTAGAATACAGGTCCCTCACAACAAAGATGTGAGCTCCAAGCGAAGAGCCGCTGGGCACTGTGGGAGTCTTCTGAAAAAGACCACCTCTTGTTAACACTTGTAAATGCAAACACACTTTGGAAACTTCAGAGATGTTTTCCCCAGAGGATCAGGGCCGAGGCACCTCTCCTCACTTAAATAAGCAAAGTGTTAGCTCCGGGAATGTAGGTGCAAACAAACAGGACACTGTAAACAGATTTTCCATTTGAAAAACTGTTAATATTAGGTTTTTAGTTTGCTGTAAAGCCAGGCTACCATGGGCCTGCAGCATGTTGCTCTCTTTTTCTTTCTCCTGGGTGGGTCAGAGATTTGGAATCAGACAGTCAGTGTGAAATGTCAAGGAGTCAAGTTAGAGTCCGCGCAGGCTAAGACAGCCCCACGTGAGCCAAGCCTGTGCCAGTGAACAGAGCACATGCCAGCCAGGTCTAAGCCAGCCCGGCAGCCGTGGGAACTCGTGCGCACTCAGCTGCTCCGGCGACCTACCTCCCCCCCGCTCCTGGGAGTCACTGCAGTGCAGCCAGGAGGGTCTCTCTGCCCTGTGGGTTGTAAGAAGTCTGTTTTTGCAAAATCAGCGTCAAAGGGCTTCAGCAAGTGAGAACATTTGAAGCTGGAGTGATAGGGTCAAGGGTTAGCAACCCGGAGGAGACTGTTGGGGCAGGAGAGCAGGTGAGGTGACTCGGGTGTGAGAGCTAGAGAGTCAGAAGTGCCCAGGTCAGAACCTCCCAGGAACACTCCCATTCAGCAATGCTTTTTCATCCGCATCAGCACCACCACCATCATCATCCTCACCATCACCATCACCACATTATCATCACTGTCACCATCACTACCACTATCGCCGTCATCATTCTCCCCATGATCATCACCACCTTCCCCATCCCCATCACCACCAACACCACCATCACCATCATTATCCTCACCATCATCACTACTATTGCCGTCACCGTCACCACTGTCATTGTCACCATCATAATCATGCTATCATCATTATTACCAGCATCATCATCACATCATCGTCATGATCCTCACCATCACCCTCACCATCCTTACCATCACCCTCACCATCACGTGACTGTAGGCTTTAGTGTCCTGGAGAGTGACCCTTTGGTTCTTCAGGGAGCCAACAGATCCATTCTATAACAGTCCTACTAATAGAAGCGAATATACTTTTAAATTGGCATGTAAATATAGTTTGCTTTGAGTCCTCACCACAACCTGGCAGATGAGGGTAGATATTTTATCCCCATCTTGCAGAGAAGGAAATGGCTCAAAGAGGTTACTGACTGTCCTAAGGTCACACAGATACTGTGTGACAAGTCTGCTCTGGAACCTAGTCAGCCAGGTTCCTGACAGTTAGGCCCCTGCCCTGCATCATGCTATATTTTGGCCATGAGACCTCTACTTCCGTGAGTAACCAGCTCTTGGGCCTGTAGTCTTTGGCAGTGAGGACATCCCATGAAGCCACAACCCAACTAGTTTCTCTAGAATTTAGGAAATGTCTTTTGATCACTTTCATGTTGCAGCAAGGAAGTTCACTAGGCATTCCGACCTGTGTGTCTGACCTTCAGGTGATATTGGTGGTGTTGATGGTGCAGGTGGTGACGAAGAAGGTAGAGGAAGAGGAGGAAATGATGATGAGCATGGTAGTAATGACCATGATTTAGATAGTGATCGTATTAATGAGGCATACTAATCATGACAGCAGCTTTGAGTACCTGCTATGTGCCAGGCTCTGTCTCATGAACCCTCACGGCGACTCTGTCACGTGGGTACCATTTTTATCCGTATTTATGGATGAGAAATTTGAAGTTTGGAGAAGTTGAGCCACCTTCTCAAGGTTTACAACCAGGGCTCTTACCACCAGGCAAAGATTTCTATAATAGCCAACCAAAGCCTGCAACTTTGCATTTTTTTTCTACCTTTCATACCTGGAATGGTTGGAGAAAACCAGAGATCTTCGTTTCTGGGAGAACTGACGTTAGCCCCATTTCACAGTTGGAAAAACTGAGGCCTGTAGGGTCCGCCGGTTAGCCCAGAGCCACCGCTGGCCCAGCGGCCTCTTCACCCTCTCCTCCTGCTCGGGGGCGCGGGGTCGGGGGGTCCCTGAGCCCACTCACGCCTGCTTTTGTTCTGCAGACTCCACGGTGGCGGTGGCAGTGGCGGTGGCGAGGACTCTGCTCCCTCTTCCGGAAGGCGTGCTGCGTGGCGCTGCCCTTGCAGCTGCTGCTGCTCCTTCTCCTGCTGCTGCTCCTACTGCTCCCCGTCGGGGAGGAGAACCGCAGCTGCTCCTTGGCCAACAACTTCGCCCGCTCCTTCCGGCTCATGCTCCGCTACAGCGGCCCGCCGCCCACCTAAGCCGCCCGGGCAGCAGGTGACTTTCTTCTCCGACCGTCCGCCAGCCCCGGAGGTGTAAATACTCTATTGATGTTCCCACAACAAAACCACTTTTTATACGGTGTCGTCTTAGTCTATTTATACGAAAGGCGTACTTCTGTGTGCCTCGGAAAGAATGTATAGAATTTTTATAGCCTCTGTATGTGGATGCTCGGCGTGTCTAGTTTCATATACGACGTCTATCTGTAGGTGGGAGGATGTCCAGCAGTTGGTGTGTCCAGCGGGATTTCGGGGGCACGTTTGCACACACACCCACCCCGCCCCCCATCATAGGAGCAATCATAATGTGTCGCTTTTAGGGCAACCGCTTGCCCGGGAAGCCAAGCGCCAAGCCCAGATGTTGGTGAGAAGGCCCCTGAGCTGCGGACATAGCAGAGCAACACAGGCCCTCGCTCGGCCCCCAGTTACTCTTGTTTTGTGCACAGTGAGGACAGAGGACGCTCTCTGGGTTTGAAGCAGAAATGGTGACTATCGATGGCGGCCCTGGTGACCGCAGTGAAAAGTGCCAAGTGGTAGAGTGATGTCAAGGGAGGAGGAGAAGAACTATAGTGAGCAGACCTGGCACAAAAACAGCATACATGATCGGGGCTCCGTGCGTGGGGTGGGGGGGGGGGCGGGAGCGCTGGCCCCCACCTCGCAGCCTTGGACCCCAGCACCCAGCGATGGTGGAGGCTGGCTCCTAACTGCCTTAGAACTGGATCGTGCTTTCCCTAAATCAACACTAAGTGTCCTTGTAGTAAATGCCTCGCGCTCACTCTTTCCAAACTGACTTCGTCTGTTCTCCTCTCGTAGGAGACCAAGAGGGGGTCCTGCAGGCCTGTGGGTTTGGCAGGTGTCGAGCCGTGGAAAGGGCCTGTAAAGGGAGGGAAACCGAGGACCGGGGAGGATCCTGGCCGCCCGTGTCGAGCCCTGCCCGCCGCGCCCCTGCACCCACGGGCCCACCCTCCCCAGCCCCGAGGGCCCTAACTGCTTAGCCCTGACCGCACAGGCCCGGGAGGAGCTGGGCACCCCCACCCGGAGCCCCGAGCCCCGAGCCCCGAGCCCAGGCCCACTGTGGTGCGACCTCCCTCCCCACCCAGCAGGCGCTCAGGCCCAGGCAGCTGTGTCCCATGAGCCCGCGCCGGGGAGGGAGAGGCCGTGGGTGGGCTGGCCGGGGGCAACGTCCCTGCGTGTTTTTTAAACTTTGATAATGAGGCCGCAGAGCCTGCTTGTTTGCATAACTGTTTTAAAGAGAGAATTGCTATTTTCATTACTTTCCTACAAATACAGTTGTGAAGTAACAACAGCACTTGCTGGTGCTTCTCAAGTGTCATCTCTTCTGCTTAAAGTGGATGCTGACAGTTAGGCTGTTTATGACTTCCTAGTTCCCTGAACAACCACCGCCAAGAGCTTTCAGGTGCCTTTCCAGAACGGGGGCCAGAGGGGGACCTGCGTGTGTTTGTTTACTCTGTCCCCAGAGTGACAGTGGAGAGAAATGGAAATATCTACACCCAGCCCAGCTGTGTGTGTGTGTGTGTGTGTGTCTGTGTGTGTGTGTGTGTGAGAGAGAGAGAGAAAGAGGGAGAGAGAGAGAGACAGGGAGAAGTTAAGAGGGAGAGAAGGAAGAAGAGGGGAAGAAGAGGGGGAAGCAGAGGGAGAGGGGAGGAGGGAGGAGTATGGAGGAGGACAGGAGGAGGAGGGGAGGAGGAGGATGGGACAGGAGGAGGAAGGGGGGAGGGAATAGGAGGAAGAGTGGAGGAGGGGAAGGGAGGAGGAGGAGGGAGGGGATAGAAAGGGGGAGGAGGAGGCACAGGAGGAGGAGGGGAGGAGTGGAAGGAGGAGGAGGAGGGAGGGGATAAGAGGGAGGACAGGAGGAGGAAGAAAAGGGAGGAGTGGAGGGAGGAGGTGAAGGAAGAGGGAGAAGGGGAGAACAGGGGAGGGGAGAGGAGGGGAGGATGGGGAGGGCAGGGGAGGAGGAGGGGGAGGAAGGGATAGGAGGAGGGGGGGAGGAGGGGGAGGGGATAGGAGGAGGAAGAGGAGTATGATCAAAGGCGTGGGTCCCCTCCTCAGCTGCCTCCCCTCCTCCCTCCCCCCCCACCTCAGTTGGGCCTCCACAGGAGAGATGCAGGCAGGACCCAAGGGTGAGGGGTGGGATGCGCGGAAGCGGCGGCAGAGGAGGCTCGAGGGGCCCCACATGGGCCCGAGGCGGCATGCCCCTAACGCAGAGCACCTTGCACCTGGCGCAGGCAGGACCCGGCCCCTCGGTAGGCGCCTGGGGAGCCAGCGTTCACCGAACCCCGCGACAGCGCCCGGGGGCGGCATCACCTTCACCTGCTTTCTCTGAGACAGGAAAGCTGACACGTCAAGACAGACACACCAGCCGTGCGGAGCTGGGATCTGAACCCGGGGTGGCCCCGTGCAAAGCCCAGGCCCCTCAGCGAGCCCACTGGACTGGACGGGGTGCTTCCCTGCAGGCCCGGCCCTGGGCTCTGCGCGGGGGCGCCCGGGGGGCACAGTCACGGGGTCCTCTGCGGACACCTCACACCAGTCGCTTCCCGCGGCAGGGGAAGCTCGGCAAAACTTTTTCCCCTGGGGGGGCTGAGTACCTCTCTGTCCTGTGCACCCCAGACGTGGCTGACCCCAGTGGGAGGAAGCCCAGTGCCCAGCACTGGGTGGGGACTTCAGCTGTGGTAGTTGATTGGTGTGAAGAACCCCAGGAGCGGATGCATTAGGTGACCCCAACCCTCTCCCCCAGGATACAGAGGAAGTGGCTCCCCATGGACTCACTCGCCTCTCTCACCACCTCTCACCTCCTGGCATCTGGCTGGAGTTCCCAGGAAGGACCCAATGTCCAAGGATGCATGTCCCCGGGCAGCACCAGGGGACAGCAGGTCTGCACCTGGGCAGCTTGTGCCACCGGCGGTTCGGGCCACCCTGCCTCGCGGGGCCCTGGCTCAGGCTGCTGGGCAGCACAGGGTTCAGGGGTGATGGCATCTCCCGGGAGGAGCCTGAACCAGGGCCTGACCCCCGAGGGGGCACTGAGCAGCCCCACGTGGCTTTGGGGACTGCCGGGAAGCTGTCCCGGTTAGAGACGGCAGACAGAGCCAATGGAGGAAGGGATGGCGAATGGGTGTCGAAGGCAGGAGGGGACAGCCACTCGATGTCACCAAACTGTACACTTAAAACTGGTGAAGACGGTAAATTTCAGTTTTGCTACAATTAGAGAGAGAGAGAGAGAGGAGGGAGGGAGGGAGGGAGGGAGGGAGGGAGGGAGGGAGGGAGACCAAGCTGTATGTGTTTACTTCTCAACTTTTATCTGAGAAACAAGGACTAGTGGCAAAGTTTTCACTGACCGAAGACAAAATGAAAATAATAGTCATAATAAGGACAAAAGCCTGGAGGTTTGCTCTACGTTTCATCTAAGCGACAACCCTTTGTTCTGGAGCATCCTTCCTCCTGTGGGCGTTGGGCGGCCTGGAGGAATGCGGTGCGGGTGAGCTGCAGCCTCCTCTGGGTATGCTTTCAGGGGCCTTAGAGGACAAAATTAAAAGCTGCCAACTCAATGTTGGTTTTCCCCAAAGTCACTGTTCTTTCTGGAAGGCCAGGCGATCCCTGCCGGAGAAGGCCAGGAGATGTGAGGGGGCAGCTCGAGAAATGCTTTGTGCTGGACTCTCAGGGTGGGAGGAAAGAGCCCTGAGAAGTGGACAGAGTGCGAGTCCGGTGGAGTTTGTGACAACGGGGCCAGGCGGGGTGCCCTGTGCCTTTGTCTTTAAGCCAACGCAGCAGGCGTTCTCAGGTCCTTTGTGCCAGGCTCGTGCTGGAGAATTCAGGGGAATAAAAGCCCTGCCAGGGGCTGCAGGCCCTGCCCTCTGGGAGCTCACAGCCCAGGAGAAGGGTTTGTGCCACAGAAGACGCCAAACCAAACTGAGTCCTTGCGCTTGACTTTGCCCATTGCCCTCCTGGAGGTGGCACAGCCACCATCACAGAAGCTGGAAGGAGGACATGCTGGGATGGCCCAGGCCGTGGCCTGCATGTGTCTTGCTTCCCCTGGAAGCTCCCTTGGCTAAGTCCTCAGGAGCAAAGCTCTGCCATCGTTGCCCCCAAAGACCTGGTGACACTAACCTGATATGTCTGTCCCTTGGAGGTCACCATGCAGCTGTGAGGCAAGCCGTGCAGAGGACAGATCAGGGCCTGGGCATGGCAGCAGGAGCCGGGACGGGCTGCGCTCAGTCAAGAGGTGGTTCCTCGAGGTGTGCTGTGTCTTGGAAAAGGTTTCTGGAAGCTTCTGGCAAGGCCTAAGGCGGAAGCCATGGATGTGCAAGCCCTCAAACGCTGCATGTTTATTGTCATTTCTATTCCTGGCACAATGATTCATCCGCAATCATGGGTCATGGTAAAAAATTTGTGGTTGGAAATACCAAACCGAGAAGCCCACTTTTCCACCCTGGAGATTTTCTGGGTTGGAAGTGTATATTCCCTTGATCAATTTGGCCAAGAATTAGGATTGTCTCCTGCCCCTCCCCACCTCCTGCCCACTGTTAGTCTCCAGAGCAGGGGCACCAGGGGACCCCCTCGAGAGGCAGAGGGGGTTAAGGAGGGGTGCAGGGTGTTCTGTGGATCCTAAGGAGCAGCTCTCGTGGGCTGTAGCACAGTGACGTCCAGTAAGCCTCTTGTGTCCCTGGCCTAGCTGGACTTGGGCCCTAATTCCCTCTCTCATGGCAACTCAGCTACTCCAGTGGGCCTCCCCCGACCCCACTCTTTTCACCCAGTCTGATTGTCACCAATCCTGGGCAGCAGCACAGGAGAGGGATGAAGCCATGACCTTTAAGCTCAGCACAGCCCCAGCACAAAATACGCCCGGCAGGTACTTCTATTACTGTGTCCACGGCAGACATTGGTAATGGATTACCGAGCTCTTCCCCTGCCTCTCTCCAGCCGGACTGGACCTCACAGCCCTTCTCAAAACCATTGGCAGCTGCTGCCAATCCATTTGTCATGCCAGAAAAACCTGTTTGACCTTGTACCTGATACTACCCATCCCCTCAGAACTCTCATTTCTGGCCTCTTCCTCATTTTTGTTTTTTTTTGTTTTTTTGGTTTTTTTTTTTTTTTTTAGTTTTAAAATTAGGATGTTCCCAATCAAAAATCAC